GTTCCATCTAACAGATGATGTGTCGAGATTATACAAAAATTAAAGTGTGTGTTTTTTTCTAAGCATCGTCCATTTGCTTATATCTTCATTACGTAATAATCTGAAATGTTTGTTTAACGACGAGTTCCATCTTCGAAGAATACTCCTCCATCGACTGCACAGTATTTGGGGCAAACTCCTCGTTCTCCTGGCGGTCCAGGCATCCCTGCCTGGCCAGGCATTCCAGGTCGCCCATGCTCCCCAGGTTCTCCGTTCGCTCCTGGTGGTCCTTTTGGTCCACTTATGCCTGCAATGGAAGTCACGCAATAACCTAGCACAGCAATCCATTAAAGACATTCTAAAAAAAGATAACGAACCTGGTGGTCCAGAAACTCCTGTAGAGCCCATTCCACCTGGTGGTCCCGGCGGCCCAGGAGGTCCAGGTGGTCCCGGTTCTCCGGGAGCGACAGCTTCAACTGGGGCATCTTCTCCTGCAAGGCCGGTAGCACCAGGCTTCCCGGGAGCTCCATTCAGTCCCGGTGGACCTGGTAATCCTGGGGGCCCTGCCGCGCCGTCAGGTCCAGGAAGACCAGGAGGTCCACTTGCGCCAACATCTCCTGGAGGTCCCATTATCCCGGGCTGTCCAGGCGGTCCAGGAGGGCATGGTCGGCATGGAGGTGGTGTGATCTGTTCACAAGGCTGTTGTGGTGGACGTCCCGGATTTCCAGGAGCTCCAGGTGCTCCCGGGTTACCGGGACGACCAGGACGTCCTGGCGGTCCCATTATACCAGGTTGTCCGGGAGTACAGCATGCGTTACAGTTGTATGAACCGTATGCTGATGCACCGGCTGCGCCAGGTGTTGCCTCTGTTACATGCGACGCTCCACGTGCAGTTCGATTACCAATCGGTTCTCTCATATTGCTCACTTCCTTTATAATGTCATTTGCAGTTCTCTAAAAATACGCTTAGAGATTAGCGGAGAGCTGGAATTACCTTAGCCTCACAAACCTTGCACAACAATGCTTCCTTATTCATCTTGTGTATCACACCATGAGCATAGTTGTAGATCATCGGCAATGTAATGCAGATGGATAGCACTGCGATTATCGAGAAACTGACCGCTGAATAGGCGACGAAGCGATAGGCTTTCACTCGTTGCTCCAATTCCAAGGCCATTTCGTGAGTTCGAACTGGTTCGGGTCGTTGGAGTAGGATTCAAGTGCCAGTGGCTTATATATGCATCATCTGTGAAGGCCAATCCCTTGCACCTGCTATATCACGGCTACGTCGTTAACACGATCGTAGAGCCTGAAAAAACCACACAACAATGTTCGTTCACAACTCATGCCCATTCATTATGACCTGTGTTCAAGAACTAGTCTCTTCGTCACAACCTTCGCATCACTACAAAAACAAGCCTAGAAATTTTTGAACTTTCGATTATTCTGCTCATGTGCAAGCTGCCCTTTGGTATCTGAGTCACTACTGTCTCTGATGTATAAGAAACTACCCGCAAACCTGCTATGCTACCCTAGTTACTCTTCGCACTTAATTTCAACTCTTCGCACTTAATTTCACAGTGGCATTCCATTATGACGCCATAGACTACTGCCTATATTCTTATTCTCCTCTTTTTCAATCGAACACTCAACCAATGCGATGATGGTTATTTCATAGGTGTGGTGGGAACTTTTCTGAGGTTATATGGTAAGGGACCCCTTTCATATAGACCCAAAGAATGGTTTAATTATGATAACTGCTGTTTTACGCTGCAGTACGCGTTCCGAAAGTTATTACAAGAATACTGAGTTATGGGCGAAAGTCGTACCCCAGGCGGGAGTCGAACCGCACCTTTCACGTTCACGCAGATGCACTATCAGCTTACGCCGGAATAGCGCACTGCCGCCCGTGAAAAGCGTGAGGGTGCGGGCTCCGACTCCGCCACGCGAACTCTTTGCCATAAATTCAGGCATCTTGTGTATAGCACTTCCATAAAGAAGTGATTAAAGTGAGTGATAACGCTCCGATGCTGCTAGGGCTTTTTTAGTGATGAAGGCTTCGAAAGCGACGAATTAGTGGTTATCCGGTATCCCATGCAACGTTGGATTCACTCGCTGCCAGGCCACGCCGCCGTTGTGGAAATCACAAGTGGTCGTATTTGACCGCGAAGGAGGAGGGGCTCGTAAACACAGGGCTCATTCAGAAAAGGAAAGAGCAGCAAAATTTCGTACAATCGCTGATTTATGAAAGAATCTCTTCTACGGTCGCGTTCCTGCTGTTAAAAACTACACCTGACGACGAGGGCAAAGTTTGCAACTCAGGAAGGGGGAAAATGCTGGATGCATAAGTAGTACGTGCGCCCCCCCCCCACACACACATCCCACAAACGTCATGGTCAGTAAACAAACAAAACAGTAAATTTGCTTATCACAGCTTTCTGAACGTGGTGCGGCCACGCTGCTTCACCGAAAGAAGCCCTTACCTGAACATCTTCGCGACAACCCTGCGTGGCCGTCGGATGGTATACGCGCAAGTACAGAAAAGAATGAACAATGAGCGCCTAATGAACTATTTCCCTAATACTATCACCTGTGCCCCGTTGATCATCCTCGAGCTGGCTCCTCTAACATCTCCATTCGTCCGTGCAACGTGCCAGAGCTGTCCCATGGTTTCTCCCTGCTCGAGGGACACGATGAACTTCACACCATTCGTTCAGAGCTTTTACGAAGAAGGTCTGACCATCACGTAGGCGGCCGTAGGTATATATAAAAAATGGGTCAAATAATATAATACCTAGTATACCATCGGAAGAAGCAATATCGGAAGAAGCAATTAGTTTAGTATATGGGTATCTATCCTATCGAGGACTTGTTCCGATACTAGCGTTACAAGTTAACATCCATTCTATTGTGAGGTCGATTAATAGGTAGCGCGCTCTTAACTAAGAAATGCTAGTCCTTAAGGGGACTACCGGTACACTGCATTTAGACACTCATTATACTTCTTCTGACAATTTTTAGGTAACATGATTTAGTTCAACTCTTCCGTACTAACATTTAGTTTCTCTAACATTCATCTTAATTACCTTTTCTTTGACGTTATCCTTTTTTTCGCAAATAAGTGGGATTAACCCACTTCTACTCTTTTTTACCCAATTGTATTAGTCATTACCCTCATCCACTGATGAGCCTCAACGGTAATGACGAAAATGGTTCGTATGGATAGGAGGCGAAACGAACCATCTCTAATTCTTTCTCCATTTTTCTAATTCCATCGCTATTGTTATTCTTTATTGGACTTGACTGGTGTACACTGTACCATGAGGGAAACCCGTGGACAGTGACATACCAGTTCCGTCGAACGGGTTATGAATTTCATACTCAATTGAGGAGATCGCCTCACTGTCACCGACGGTGAATGTTTGGGACCGATGGTCCTCCTTGACGTCGATTGACGTTCTTCACTTTTTTCATTGAAAATAACACTACTTTTTTCAATGTAGTACACTTCAAATCTGTTACTCTAAATTTATTAATTAAATACGTTCAAACATGTTATATTCTTTGCGAAAACATTAATAACATTAACAACTTCAACATCTGAATAAAACTTCGAATGTGTATGTCTAGTTATTCTTGCGACTCCACATCTTCTCCTTCATCACTTCGGAACTGTTTAGCATTAGACTCACTACTCCTATCCGCTTCACGCTTTCTACTGCCATGTAAATCCTTAAGAATACTATTTTAACAACTTAGATTTCTATTAAGACAACTAATACTACATACCTCCTGTGAACTTTGAACTTTTTCATTCTTCTTTTTGACTTCAGTACCATTTATTATTGATTCAATGGATAAACTACCCCATTCTAATGTACCTTCCTAAAGAACTAGATCTATTAATATCTAATGACTAATGGAGGTACTCATTTACCTCATATTTTTTCAGCTCCACCGGTGATAATAACTCTTTTATAGGGGCGCCATTCCATTCATCATAAATCCATCCCAATCTTACGGCTAATTCGGAGGACTTATATCTCTTAATTATTAATGACTTATGTCCATGTCACGCATGCTATTTCTCAACTACTATACTTACAGAGTAAATTCCCTTCTTATTCTTGATAGAGATATAAGCATTTTGAACAGTCATCTCGGGCGGCACTTCTTTTTGACTTTCACAGTACACTCGAATCTTTTTACGCAGGTAAAGGCTATAAACAGAATCCTAGTATAAATAATATAATTTGTTTCTATCTACTTTACTACCTCAATCTTTCTAAGGTCATTCACGTGTATTGTTTGACCGCGTAACACTTTTACGTTAGCATTGTATTTTTTATTGTAATCTTGTATATTTCGTTTGCCCTTCTCCAAATAAAAATCCCAGAAAGAACTGGACATTTCTGCCTAAATATTCCTTTATGAGAATAGAAGAAAGTACAATAAATAAGTCAAACTATTTATTACCTTGAAACTTGTGGTGTCATTCAGGTTTCCAGCAGGTTTAATCCAACCGAGAGGGACTGGATCTTTCTCATTGTTGTACCTCAAAACTTGTTTAGAAAATAGAGCCCCTTACAAAGTAACTAGTATGTTAACTTACTTGATTATATCCAGTAAAAATTTCTTTACTACTTCTTTAACAGACTCCTTTTCAACATTAGGCACGAACAAAACCTTCAAATGTTTGGATATAACAGTCCTATTTATGGATTCTTGCTGAATTTTACAACGTTGTTCTTGAACTGAGATGAAACCAGTCCCTCTAGAACAGGTCATCATTGTTTTTTCCACACATCTACTTAAGTTAATACTTACACTCAATACCTTATACCCCAAGGAATACATACCTCACTCAATAAAGGGACACTCATGAAGACAAATAATAATAGAACAATCAAGAACCAAAAAGCAAGATCGTCTTAGTAATAACAACTTTCCTACAAAAGCGAATGTACCTCTTGAATCGTAGTTGAAATAATTCAATAATAAACAATTTTTAAAAAATTCTAACTTACCTCAGCTAGGGATAAGGAGAATCCGACAGATAGTATAAAAGTCCAAAAGGATGATATCAGCAGTTCGTATAAAAGTCCAAAATGGATGATATCAGCAGTTCTCTAGAAAGATAAACTTAATACTACATGAATATCCGCCTGTTGTAATAAAAAATACGGATTACCAGCTAATTAAGTTAAAATAAAAAAACTATACCAAAAAGATAATTCCTTGAAATGGAAAGGATATATGAAAATAAGAAGGAAATAGATAAGAAAATGCAACTTACCACCAAGATACAATAAAGTATCGTATATAAAGTCCTTTGACAAGTATAACAGAAAAAAACAAACGCGGAACACCTAAATAGATTAAGTAAATAGATAATTAGACAAGTAGATAAGCATTCAAATTGCGTACAAAAAGAAGGGTATGAAATACCTATTGAAAATTAAGGTATGCGTATCGTTTTTCAAACTTCTCCACACCTAAATTAGTTCTATGAAAATTGAAATTGCTAATAACGCACAATAGAAACCCCATAAACACAACATGTGGACAATACTCTCAATTATTCTCAAGTAGTCTCCCTCTATAATAGAATTAGTAATTCTAACAACACAATAACTTAGAATATAAACTTACTCACTTAGCGATAATAAGTGAAATATCCGTGGAATACGCAGTAGTAACAGTATCGTGCAACCAGACTATATTAGAGAGAATAGCATCCAAAAAATTGTCGGCCTAAAAAATAGATATTAGTGAATATAAGGATATAGGGATACAACAACGAAGGTATAGTGAGTTACAAGTATAAACCAGATAGAAACATCAAGCAAGACTGCACGTTAGATATAAAATAGTATTTTAATACTTTTTTATCGATTGATTGAAGATTTGGAACAAAGACGTAGGATATAGTGTGCCAGATGTGATGAAAGAAATCACGTATTACACAACGAATTTCACGACCAATGGCAAAAACGTGAATTATGTTGACGTGGACTTAAGCGTTCTGTACGTGGATTACAGAATAGCATTTGAATTCATCTTTGAAGCATGTAAGACTATACTTTTATTATTTTAGCAACTTTACCCATATGATATTAGGATCACAGTATTTCTATTATTTTTCCTTATTTTTCCTGAAGCCTCTTATCAAGAGAC